TTACCTCATTATCGATCTGCGATTGATTGCTATTTTCTTCGGTGTAGATTTTTGGCGATGAGATTAAGGTGAGATCAGCTGGTTTACCCCATTCCCATTCCGCATTCACCTAATTATGTTATCCGTCTGCCCCAGATCATTGGCTCGTTCTCGCAGACCTTCTGCTTCCCTCGCGCCGTCGCCTATCTCGATAGTGGCAAGATCAACGTCAAGGGTATGGTCACCGATGTGTTCAAGCTGGACGATTATCAGGCCGCTCTCGACAAGATGAACAGTCGGACGGCGCTCAAGATTGTCGTCACCCCTAACTAGAGGACCCGGCGGACAGCAGATATCCTGGATATGCTGGCACATAAACTAGGGAAGATCAGTAAAGATCTATGTACTATACCCACTGGAATCATGAATTATAACAATTTATTCGTTTGAAATTGGGATGTAAAATGAGAATAGAAAACCAGCCGCATGCGACTGTCACATACTTTTGACATTGCCACTAAAAATCATTACTGGACAAATCTTCGGTGGTTCGTTGCCCAGATGTATGTACACATGCTCTCGTATGTCGGCCTCTAGATCAGCAAAACAATCCAGACGCTGTCACCTTCAAGTTCCTTTTTGACAATCGGACATTCGAGTCCTGCGGCCAGCCACCGCCATCGCGTGACGTCACTGTTCACGTGTACAACCTGCCGTTTGCGGAATTCAAATTTTGTGCCGGTCGGATGACTGTCGAGTCTGTCCAGCCCGGCCCATATACTTCGTACCTACTCCAAACCCACTCATACCTGCCATGGCGCTTCGAGAAACTTGATACCCAACAGATTCACTCTATAGCGATAGCTATTTTACCACTACACCACGACGTAGAAAGTCTCCATTTACACAAGACCGTTCATAGAAGATAGAAGAATTAATCAGCACGAGATGGCAAGCTTTCAAGCCGGCGAGGTCACCACGTCGTCTGCAGTTGGAGGAATGCATCCGGACGACCCGTCGACGATGACGGCGAAGAAGGCGGCGCAAGATATTATGTTTGGGAGTGTACGTCTGCCGTTTTTTCCCGGTGGTCATTGGCCACATTAGTATCTTCTCAAGTTGAATTGCAATTAAAGATTGCGGGCATGGTGGCTGAAGTCTTCGAATACCCTTTCGACTTGGCGAAGGTGCGATTGCAGTCGCAGGTGTTGGCGCCTGCATCTCCGAATACGGTGCATTTCGAGGGACCGATGCACTGTCTGATTCACACATGGAAGACGGAAGGGGTCCAAGGTCTTTATCGGGTGTGTTGCATTTGACTTTCCTCGAGGCGTGCATTGAACATTGGCCTCAAAGGGCTTACCAGCTCCCATTGTGGGTTCCATGGCGGAGACAGCAGCGCTATTTGTTGCATATTCAGCATTCCAGAATTTGATCAGGACATACTCACCGACTGCGTCGGGGCACCCGCCACCTCCACTTTCAATACCTCAATTAACATTAGCGGCCGGTGGTGCAGGATTCGTGACAAGTTTCGTGCTGTAGGAAATCTTTTCTTCCTGACTTCGTTTTTGGTCGTTAAGTCTGCTTCCAGAACACCCATCGAACTCGTGAAATGCAAGATGCAGGTCCAAATGCTCAACTTCCACCCTCCCACAGCCCCAGGCCGGATACCTCGGCGGGCTGTTCCCGCAATCCCCTCATCCTCACCCACTTCCCATAAATCTCTTCCTACCGGGCGCGCGTCCTTACACCATAGCGCTGCGTCAAGATCCGCCGCCGTCGAAACTCTTCGACCGCCAGGACCCATTGCCCTTATTCGCTCCATTGTCGATTCATATGGCGTACGCGGGCTGTGGCTTGGCCATACCGGTACCCTCGTCCGCGAGACAGGCGGCACCGCCGCGTGGTTCGTCGCGAAGGAGTGGGTCGCGCGTCAGCTCATCGCGCGCCGGATACACCAGTCGCCCTACTTAACGACAAGTGACGGCACCAAGATCCCGCGGACGGCGGCGAACACGGAGCTCCTCCCCTGGGAGTCGGCGTTCTCTGGTGCGATAGCGGGTGCGTTTGGCGCGCTGGTGTTCTATCCGGCGGATACTGTGAAGAGCGCGATACAGACGGAGGAGGAGCTGCGGCCCCGGATGGGACCTGCGTCGGGTGCTTATAGGGCGCCTTCGAGCTCTTTTCTTGGGACTTTTAAGTTGATGTGGGTGAAGCATGGACTCAAGGGGCTGTATGCTGGCTGTGGGATGACGGTGGCGCGCGCGGTGCCTAGTAGTGGGATCATCTTCGTTGTGTATGATGGGTTGACTGCGTACTTTTCTTAGGATTTCAATTGGGTGAGGGTGGTCCCAGAAATTTTATTTCTGATCTGTATTATAATCACAAACTCTAGACACATTACACACTTAGTATTGACTCTCGCTCATTTGCACTCCCCTCTCTCTTCCTGCGTTTGCAGTGCATAATGTACATTTAATTGTCTATTCTGTAAAGCTTGACAGTGGCAAGACATATGAATTTTCTTCGCAATCTTGCCGGAGGGCTTCACCAGCTTCACTGGAGCCTGAACTCAGAACACCAGCCTCATTTTTTTGTCAATCTCTGGGTGTGTTTTGTATCTATGGCTTGATTGACAGTTGAAAAAAAAAGAGATGGAGATTCGCAAAATGGTCGATTCCGAAATAATTTACAGATGTCAATGTTATTGCAATTTTCATAAATGATGACACTTGAAAATAAAAAAGTTGAAAGAAGGCAGTCGGTTACGTGACAGGTTACGTCATCAAGAAAGTCACTCATACACTGTCAATGGCATATCCAGTCTCACTGGCAGGTTCAACGCACGACTGCGCGACCGACGACGCTAGTAATCCGCACAGTGTCATCGATGGCCGCCATATATATGCCACTGCCACCTTGTCCACCCCTGCCTCTTGCCGCGGCTCTCAAGAGGGTCCCATGATGTCCACGCGCCTGGTTTTTGCCTCCCCAATCTGCACCTGCCACCCACATCTGCATCCACACTCGCCACAGCTCCCACAGCCTATTTTCTCACTGGTATATCTCATATACTGGTACAGAGCACTGTGGGATGCCAGCGAGCAGCTGGATGCATCACCGTGTGGTCCACCGCACAAGCGCCATCAGGCTTGATATCAATATCGACATTTGTTGGGGTCGTGGAACACTGGGTTGAGATGCGGGAGACAGCAGAGGCAGGGCGGGGCACAGATGCGGCCTCACGGGCAACATAGCCTGTCCCATCGAGCATTCACCCTCCAAGTTGTTGCAATCCACACCGTCTGTGCATACAATTGTGCCGCAATTTTGCGGCACCTGCGGTGTGCAGACGTTATTGGGCATGCATTTATATATATTTCAGTGGCATAGTAGCTCATGGACATTAAAATCAACGGAGGATTGGGACGGGAAGCCAGGGACTCCATCGTTTACTGTATCTGCGCTTCGGACGCGACGCGCGCGCGGTGCAGGACTGCGGCGACGGGATGGGGTCACAAATAGTCACATAATTCACACGGCCTTTGGCAGCTACGGACTTGAAAACTTTTCTTTTTAGAGTGTCATCCCCAGTGAAAACCGACAATGCGGTTGTCTGAGCAAAAATGCGGAAATCTGCGTAAAATCTGCGTGTGACTGCGAAAGTCGAGAAACACAGACAGACGCGGTAATCGGCATTTTTTTGCCGTTTTTACATGAGTATTTCTAGGTATGTCTGCGTCTGTAGGCTATATTTCTGCGTCGAACGATGGTCTGCTGCGGTAGAATGAGGCTGATTTCATTAAAATAGTATCTACTAATACATTTCCTAGCATTTATTTCTATGCGTCCCTCTGCGCCCTACTGCGCCCCGCTGCAATGCAATCCCACCCATCCTAGACCCCGTACCTAACACCCTTACATCGCCCAAGTCCCTGCCCCAGCCTCCCGACCTCCCGAATTGCTGGCGGCATCGTGCAAGGTGCTTGTCTGATGGGTTATGGATGTCGGCCACCGCGGAGTCGAGCATTTGCGTAGATCGTCAGTTGCATACTAGGGCAATAATTGGTAAGAACTGTCGAGATTGGCGCTCATACTACAAGGAGACTCACCTTCGAGTCGTATCCACGATTTAAAGTGAATATATGCGCCCAAAAGTTTAAATGAGAGGATATGGGTGGATTGTCATTCGCGTACTACGGTATTTCACGGTCAGAATCATTTGATATTGACACAAATACTGTAAGGGTACTCACCTACACCTCGTTTAAACCCAATCTATGATTCTAAATCATCATTATATGCGCTCGAAAAGCGGGCCAGTTACTTACCAAAACATGGGTCGCGGGATGTCATGCAGCTGGATGGATGGGAGTTAGATTGATAGTCCTCCGGGAAACTGTCCTACCTCTGCTACCATCACGCCGTCGTCGAGATCGTCGTTGGGCACCGCAGCTCGCTCTTCCCGCACCCTGGACTCTGGAACTGGAGCTGTGACAGCTGTTATTACACAACGCTCGGGCGATCCGGTGTGGCACTGCGGAGGCAAGGCTGCGCGGAGCGCACGGGCCACGGTGGGCAGGGGGCACGGTGGGCGTTGGAAATGGGGTGCGAGGGTGGGTGGCGGAAATGGAGGCAGGAGGCAAGATGTACACGAGAGGCGGTCGCGCATATTGGATTGATGGGACGCGGAGGGGCGGACTCTGAATTTGGAAGCATGAGTATGGGAGGCCGAAATTATGAAAAAGGCCAAGAAATAATTCTAATTTCTAAGTTAGAATTGTGCTCAGTGTGCCCAGAATCGACTGTGGGCAAATCAGAACTTCCAAAATCTCAACTTACATTCGTAAAATCGACATCTGAGGCGATCTGCGGCATTCTGAGAATTTGCAGCTCAGCGCATATTTGCCGCAGCGCCGAGCAGAGTGGCGCAGAACCACTCATCCAGCCTCAGAGCCGGTTTTCACTGGGTGTCATCATTTATGAAAATTGCAATAATCCGTTTAAATAATGATTAGGCCGTCGTAGCACAATGGTAGTGCGTTGCTTTCCTAAGCGCTTGCTTACGTAAGGCAGAGGCTGTGGGTTCGATCCCCACCGTCGGTTGTTTTTGCTTTTATTTTGTGCCCCGGTAATAGGTATGGAGGTAGTACGCCACACAAGCGCTCAAAGCGAGGGGAATATACATTTTATGGTTACTTCAGATTCCTGAAATAAAGCAATGCAGCAGTGTGCTGTTCCATGCCTAGTCTAAGAGCCTATCATTTCAGAAAAAGCATGTCATCCATGAAGACAGTTCGAAGCTATGTATCAAGTAGTTAGGGTCTAGTGCGAACACAGATTTAGCGCCCAAGGCACACGCGTGGCTAGATTTCAGGTGGCTATGGGGGTCAGACTGAAGTCCATATCACCAACAGTCTTTGCTAGTATATCGGTTAGTACACGCGCCTGTCACGCGCGTAAGCTGGGTTCGACTCCCAGGCAGAGAGTTATTCTTTTTTCTCCTACACAATAAAATGTCCCTCTCCAAAATCCCTTTTTCACCGCAGGAGCTGAAAAGACTAAATGTCGAAGATAACGGACACGACGCCAACATTTTATACTTGATGATAATCCTGATTCCGTGACTAACTCCTAAATGTTCTGGCCACGGAGATGGTAAAGTTGCTCGTTCTCTACGTAGTACTTCTAGATACCTGCCATGTAAAGAGTGGGTTGAATCAGAACCAGAACATAACATATACAGTGAATACGTGTGTACATAAGGCAAAGCGAAGAAAAGTGTGTAGTTGTATAAATAACATAACAAACAAGATGCGATATGTGTTTGGTATAAAGTACATGTATAAATACTGAGAAAAAAAATTATACGAAACCTGTAATGCCCGCCGGCGTAGTGCTGGCAATAAAATTACACTAGTAGTCCAGAACATAGAAAGGACAAGCATAAGCAAAAGAGAGAATAAAAGGGTTAAGATGTAGTTGATGCGTCCACCGGATACATCAGAGGCGACGCGAGCGTTAACATCGCTCGTACATGCAAATGTACGCTTTTGCACGAAGGACTTCCTCTAGTGTCGTCAATCGCACAGTCGTGTCGCTGATATGAGCCCACTGTCGTTCTGCCGATTTTGCACTCTGCACAAGCTCCGAGGCTTTGCTGGCAGCCGAAGCATTGCTTAAAGGGTTAGAAGAAGTGGCAGATTCTAGAGGTCCGTCAGCAGTTGAGGCTAACGACAAAGGAGGCTCGGAAGGAAGGGCAGTGTATGCAACGTAATGGCCACCAAGCTAGAAAGATAAGATAAAACAGTGCTATATCAGCATTCGCTATAAAAGGATCGCCGCTCAAAAAGAAGACCTACCATATTCCCGATATGCACTACCACGGCGTACAGCCGATACATGCATCGGTCCTCCTTCTTGCTTTTCCGCTCCTTCTCCTTGCCCTTCTTTCCAAGCCCATAGTCCTCCTTCCTAGGAGCGAGGAACGGCAGCAAATCGAGATATTCAGGAAACGAGATGTAGTCATCTAGCTTCTTGAATCCATGCGAGAAGGACATAAACGGGGTCTTAGAGGTTTGTTGAAACCTCTTGAGATGGATGACCAGTACCGGGGGAGGTGTTGCAATGAGATAGCGCTTGTATGCGGGACGCATAATCACAGGTTTAGGCTTGGAAGGCTTCTTCTGCGACGTAGGCGCTGTGTTTAGAGGTTGCTGCTGGGCTGTAGAAGGCTGGGTAGAGGTTGTCGTGGTACCCTTTGTCGATGCTTCCCGTCCTCCATTTACACCATTTGGCAGCTTGGAACTGGATTCTGCTGACACTGACGACGTATCGCTCTCGTCTTCAGAGCTTTCATTATCAGTGGTTGTCGTATCTGAGCAAACGGACCCGCCCTTGCGTGATCTCGACGTCGGTATGGCCAGCGAATCTTTGGACACGGAATTGGTATTGGATCCATATACTGCTCGTGGCAACTGCGGCTTTGAACTGTCTTTTGGGTGCTTTGTCGCAAGGGACGAGGTACGCGAGGAAATAGATATTGTCGATTCCGTAGGTGTGTCTGGAGGCGCAGTGGTTGAGATCTTTGGAATTGGCATGCCGCCCGGCCCCGCTGATCTGGATTGGTCACTGCTATCCGAGATGATGGACAGCGACAGAGGAGAGTCGTCACTGCTCTGTGTGCTTTCATCAAGAGACACAGACGTGGCTTCGGTAGGAAGAGACGATACAGATCGCGTGTCGCTCCTATCGTCAACAGATGCATAGGATGATACCGTGGGCGTAGAGAGTGATGTTGGGATGTGCGTAGTAGGCGTTGGAGGTTGTACCTTTAAGGACGGCCGGTTCTTCCCTGGTGGCTCCTTGAGATTGGCGACCCCATTGACGTTCAGTTTTTCCTCCGTCGGTGGTATTGGTGGCTTTGAAGATACCGTATGTTGACTTGGCTCTTGAGGCTCTTCATCCTCGTCATCATGGTCCGAGTCTTTGCCTTTCGATGTATGCAGCATTCCATTTTGGATCTTCCAGCACCGTCGACAGCCAACCATGTTGTCCCCATCGAGCACCTCAACCGCCGTAAACAGCCTCATACATTCCTCAATACCGGTCAAGTTACGGCCCATGCCTAGCCAAGCAGCGCCTGTACTCTTTTCCTTCTCCTTCTCTCCAGGCCCGGCTGTGGATAGAATCCCGCCTGATACCGAGCGTGAACTGTGATGGCCCGAATGCCCGTGCAATAGTGGCGGTTTGAACATTGCGAAAGGATTCGATGATGTGGGTGCCGTCGAGACATCCGCCAGAATCTTGCGAAGATATTCGACCTCGGCTGGGCTGGATTTGGGAGGTTTAGGGGATTTAGAACGTTGGACGGTGGGGAAAATAGAGGCAGGAGAAAATGTAGATGAGGCATTGAAATTCAACAGATTCGATAGCGGTTGTGATGAAGATGGTCGGGGTGAGGGTGATCTGGTATTCGTTGAAGATGTGGCATGGACTGGAATGGGTTTGATCGGCTTGTTTGGAGGTGGTGATGTGCTGGTCGAAGTATTTGCGGGTTCGGATTCGTTGATCCTGGAAGATGGAACGGCACCATCAGATACAGCCCGATTTCTGATAGTAGAATCGTCCACCGCCGACGGAGTGCCAATGACACTTGCAGACTGTGACTTTTGGATACCCAAATCAGCAGATACGTCTTCCTGGATCGCGCCTGGTACCCCGAGGCTATGACGATCCATGGATCGACTCTTCCTATCCCTTTCTTTTCGATCCTTCTCCTTCTCAGCGCTTTTCGACCGACCTAGTCCAACTGAAAGACTAATCCGCCTCCCAATTTTGGCCCAGCTCGTGTCATCGTTTCTTTGCATTTGCGCCTTCTCCTTCTCCATTTCCTTGTCCGCAGCAGCCGGCAATGAGGTTCCTTCAGGTCCTGCCTTCTTATCCGCTGGCTCCGCAAATTCGATATGCCTCTCTTCAGGCTCCGTTACCTGCACGATAGGATTGGGACTGTCACTCTCCAGGGCATCGTTCCGCGATGTCTTCTCCAATTGTGGCTCGGCCTGTGGAGGTGCTTCGAGGATCTCCTTTACCGATGGCGTCGGTTCTGGCGCAGGTACCTCGGATTCCGATACCAGTCCCCCGACGGATACGTCCAAACTCCTCCGTCTCGGCGACTCCGCTCTGGGATGCTCTGCAAGGAGCTGCGCAGCGTCCCTCTCTGTGCGTGGACTGGGCGGTACGGACGACGCGCGCAGCATCTCCACTGCGTGCGCAGAGTCAATTGGCGGAGGACTCGGCTTTGCTGTACCCGGGAACTGCGTCAGCCGTCCGACGATCTTCTTGAATCGGTCGCGCTTGCGATTATGGGGTAGGTAATCCTCGGCCTTGATGCTGAGGCTGATGTCGTTGAAGTCTTCATATGTCTGTGATACATGTTTGCACTTTTGGCATACGAGAATGCTTGTCAGCTCGCCGCCAAATATCATGTCAACGAACGAGTGTAGTGGAGGTTCCGCGTCCGGATCTGCCGTTGGGTCCGTTGTAGGTGTTTCGAGAGTATCAGGCGTAAGTGTGGTCCGTCGCCGCTTCTTGGGGTGGGGTGGGGGTTGGCGCTTCTTAATGATCTGTCCCCAAATCAGATGTTGAAAGGTCGGAGAAACACATGTGCTTACATCTTGCTCCTCCATGCGCATTGCATCGAGCAATATTCGCAGAAATTCATGAGCATCTTGTTGCGCGAAGTCTAAATACTGATCATATTTCTGACCGAGGGCAGAAAGAATAGGTCTGAATGTGTCAGTACAACCAAACCCGCAAGAATGATCATGCGTACTTTGGACTGAGGATGTCTCTCCTCCTTGCAGCCTGGCTATCCCAGGCTTTGTACATCACGGTCAGAAACATGTCTCCAATTGGCATGCTGTTCACCCATGGCTGCTCGTATTTCCCTGCCAGATTATGGCCGTTTGTAAGTTGCGGCGATCTTCTCGAGACAATCTGCGTGGTTGCTGTCATTTGAATTTCTGGTGGTATTGGGTTGAAATGGACAAGATCGGAGAGCAACCGAGTTGCTATAAGCTATCGCATTGTCAGTACGACGTAACTTGGAAATTGTAGACGACATACACCCTGCAAAACCGAGTTCATGAAACAGGTATTGCCATGATTGATCAACCCAGGCGGCAAGTAGGCCGTTTTCTCGTTCTCTTCGCGCTGCCGTCTTTGCTTGTAGATCTCCTGGGGTGTCAGAGCCTTCTGCTTGGCCATTGGAGAAATCCCAGCCACAGAATGGAATGAGCGCTGTTGCTCGTTAAGTACTGAGGGGCGTCGCGCCGCAGCGGTAGCCCGCGCAGAACTCGTGTTGATCGTTATTTGCATCGGGCGCTCTTTGAAATCACACCCGAGTCACCAGCAAATGCGTAGCAAGCCGCGTAGTCAATAACATTGACCGTAGCAAAACTGCGCAGAAAACAAGGAGAATCAAGATATAATCTCACGAATCTGTATTAGTTTTTATAAATAAAAGGAAGAGGAGGTACATAGCAGTGTAAGTAACTGGGATAACCTTTCGGCATCTCCCGATAGCTGATGGCGGAAGGCGGGCC